GTGGGGGGGGGGGGGAATGCCTCGAGAGGGAATATGCAGCCAAAGGAGGATTATGTAATAAATAAATAATAATAATTGTAATATAGAGACTTTGTTAGTATTATTTTTAAAAACTATCCACTAAAGCAAATAACTTCAGATGTGCATTGTTCATTTATTCAGATTCTGTTTATTTATTGTCCATTAGTTTCACCAAATCAGTTAAATGCTCAAAATTCCTAAGTTTAATGTTATAGACAAAATTCATAAATTTCTATTTATTTATATTTTATGGTTTAATCTTGGATTTGAAGGCTAAATCTTGTGTAAACCAATATATAAAAATCCAAAATAATGTTAGGAATCTTACTTTTGGAATAAAAAGTTTCCAAAAAATCTTTTAGATATTATGTCTGAACCCCACTGTGCTACGATCGCAAAAACCCTACTCTGAACTTGAACTAATCATTTTATTATGTACTTATTATATATGATTATATACATATTATATATAATAATATATTTACTGTATATTTATCGAATATTTTTAATGTAAGCAATTTAATGAACGACTATTTGAATTAATTCTTCGAACAACAAAAAAAAAGCACCCGATCGAAGGTGCATGGTGGTTGAGCTTAGAGGTACTATCACAATCAAAGGAATATAACTTTATCTCTTTTCATGCTTTTCATTTTTATTACTTAAGAAGCTAAAGACGAGAAATTTATTTTGCTAATTTTGTTACTCAAATTACATTAACTTTATGTGTTTACATCTATTAAAGCAATAAGTTAAGCGAAAAAGTTGTGGTTGTTTATAATAAGATCGAAGTCTGTTATAGTTTGTCCAAAGCATTAATTATGTGTTAAACTACTCTTTATTGCATTTAGCATATGTTTTGATATCGACAAATGTACTTGAACTAGAAAAAGTTTTTCCAAGTCATTTCTCACACTCATCCCTCTAGTATAAAAAAGAAAGACAAAAAGAAAAAAGAAAAAAAAAGAAAAAAGTTTAACGTTCTGGTAGGGACGAAGCTACACTTTGGTAAAGGTGGTCAATTAACCATCCTTTATGAAAAATTATACTGCCTATATAAATAAAATATTAGCTTTTAGCAGTACATAACATATATCGAACACTCTTTGTTGGAGATTTTTTTTTTCAAATTTGAACACCCCTGAAGAAATTCTTGGTTTTGCCACTGCTTTCTGGAAATTACTATAATTTTTACGTAAATTTTTTGGATACTCAAATCCAATTAAAGAAACTTAATATCTTTAAATAGTAAAACTTCATTTATAGGCTTTCGAGTTAACTTTGGCCATAGACCATAAACTTTTAAAGCTCCATAAAATGTGAAAAACTTTTTGTTTACTTACACCGAGAAACCAATTGGATATTAGCAACTTTCTTTCACATAGTGTTTCTTTTTCCATTGTTTTGATCATGAATCAAATATATAGCACAAAAGGCAAAAATAACAGAAAAAAAGCTGAAACTAAGCGTAACAGACATGAATTCCTTTTCCATAAGCTAGCATTTTCTCTTTTTAATTTACACAATGGGAAAAAAAGAACAAGAACAAATAAGGAAAAAGGAGATATAAGACCAAATAGCTTATTTTTTAAGAAAGTAATAATTTAAGAACGTGAAATATTTTGTTAATAGAAGAAAGTAAAATTAAGATATTTACTACCCCGAAATCACTTTAGAATTATGCATTCTTGAAATATGAGAATGTTACGGTTGAAATTCGAAATCATAACCTATAAATCTAAAATAAACTTAAACTATCTTTGCAACTACACAGAATCTTTCCTTAAATCAAGAATATTCAATAATATATATTACAAATAAGTTGTTTTTTGTCTTATTGCACATTATAATTTTTTAATGAAATAAGTTCAACCAAATCGACTTGTGTCCACCTAGCTCCACCCCTGCATGCGACCACGTAATTATCTAGTGAAAGGAAACACTTTCTTTTATTCATCTTAATAGTTTTCAATCCTAACAGAAAAGGGAGAGAAACAGATACTCAATTTAAAGTGAGTAAATAGAAATTTATATTCAATCTCATAGATATATATATAATTCTGCCGAAAGCCGATTTGATGAAAATTATGTGTACGGCTCGGAGGAAGATTTTCACATCTTTCAAGATCACCCTACAATATGGGGTAAAAAAAGCCAAAATAAGTGAATATTTCCAGCAACAATAAATGAATATACATTTTCTTGGTACCTTTATGTTATTGGTAGACCACAACTCGATAAAACGTCTGCCCCCGAAAAAGCTAAAACTCAAGCAAAAAGTTATTAATCGATTCAATAAGAGTAACCATGTTGAATAAGTCATTATATTATATTGATATACTTGATTCACCTTTTTCTGGTGTAAAAAGATCTGTATTTTTTTTTATAAACTCTCCTGGGGTTGGGTAATACCTGGGGTGGCTATTTGTTACCATTATACTTCAAAGAAATAATAATAATAATAATAATAATAATAATAATAATAATAATAATAATAATAATAATAATAATAATAATAATAATAATAATAGATACTAAAGGTTATTATTGGATGGAAAGAATTGTTGGGCGGTAACGATATACTCTTAATATTGTGTAATATTATCCGTTTTGAGCAAAGCTTGCACGATTTTTTTCAAAAATCCTTACACCATTAAAAGTATCTAACTCCTTATAAGTAACTTATTTTTCTTTTCTACTTTTTATGTGGGGCTTTGTTCAAACACCTCTAATCCATCTTTAACTAGAGATTTCGGGTTCGAGCCCTAGAAATGAAAATTTTCCTTCAGCTTCCTCCTTTGATGAATCTTACACGATGCAAGTTCGGATTAGTCGGTACGGATATCGGACACCAGATAAAAAATAGAATAATAATAAATAGCGAAAGACAAAGCAGCCACTATTTAGTGTCTACTACTCAACTTTTGTCTCTCTTTTAACACCCTCCGTACCCTCTATATATCTTGTAAACTTCCTCAACTCCTCTCTCACATCTCTAAATCTTTAATTTCTTTTAAATTCCCTCCTTTTCCTCCTCCTCCTCCTCCTTCTTCTTTTTCCTTCCTCTTCCCTTTGGAAAACAATGGTGAAGTTCTCTAAGGAACTTGAGGCACAACTAATCCCAGAATGGAAAGACGCCTTTGTAAATTATTGGCAACTTAAAAAACATGTTAAGAAAATCAAGATTTCAAGAAAACCAAAACATGTTCAAGATGGAAACTCTGCTCTTGATTTTGGTCGATCCATTTTCGATTCGATTCGTTCTTTTACCATAAATTTTCATAAAGCTGCTGATAAACCTGAAGTTCCTCAAGTATGTTAATTCTTCTTCTTTTTCTTGATATTGATACTACTATCTTTTTATAAGGTGGTGAAAGTATACAAGAGGTTTGTTTATTTTGTGTGTAATTCTTTTAGTTCAAGTTCATTGTCCTTTTGTTTGAAAAAGAAAGGAAAAGGTGACATTATTTTCAGGCAAAAGTCTTAAAAAAAAGTCTTAAAAACATTTAATATGTGGTTCCACACGTGAGGTTTGGGAGGGCAGTGTTTCCGCAAACTTACCTTGTGAAAGTAGAGATTCTGCGCAACTAACAATAACAATAACATACTCAGTATCAAATGTATATTCTTCCTTTTTGCCACCTTTTCTTCTCCTTAATGAAAATGGTTTTTCTTTAACTTTTTAGTCTTAATATTTTTTATATTTCCCTACATGGAATTTCTTTATACTATTCTTCATGTTGAAGTTATAGTCACCGGAAAATCAAGAAAATATCGTGTTTAAATGGGTTACTATTGGATTGAGGTGGAAGGTGAAAGGGTGTGTGATTTAGCATGGAGGCAATAATGAAACGGTTTTTGTATCATGAAACTATCGTGAAGAGTTTGAAATAAGTACAACAACCTGAAAAAAAAAGGAGTCAATGAAAATGACAATTTTAATTTATATGGAAGATATATAATGAAGGAAGATATTACTCCATATTATTGGTATAAATGTATCTTTCTTTTTTTAAAATTGTTTGTGTAGGTGAAGAGCATAATCAAAGAAGGAGAAGATGGAAGCGAACAAGAAGAGCAAGAAGAAATGTATGAAACTGAAAATGAGCTTGCTCAGTTGTTTTCTGAAGAAGATGGGGTAATAATAATAATAATAGAAAATTAAATTACAAAGTGACCAATAGATTACGGGTAAGTCGTGGAAATAGCATATTGCAGAAATGCAGGGTAAGACTGCGTACAATAGACCCTTGTGGTCTGACCCTTTCCTGAACCCTGCGCATAGCGGCAACTTACTGCACCGAGCTGCCCAAATTACAAAGTGGGGTATAGAATATTTTGAAAATTTATGTTCATTTTGTGACTTTTTTTATTTTTATATTTTTGCATGTAGGTGAGAATATTTTTTGAAATGCTAGATGAAGAGCTGAAAAAAGTGAATGATTTTTACAAGACTAAAGAGAGTGAATTTCTTGAAAGAGGGGATATTCTTAACAAGCAGCTCCAAATATTGTTGGACCTTAAGCAAGTTCTCAGTGACCGTCGCAGGAAAATCCACGGGTCGAGATCCGGATCCGGGTTTTTCAGTCGGACCAATTCATTATCTGGCCGGAATTCTGATTTTTCCGGTGAGCTCTTCCTTCTCGTTATTTAATTTGTTTACGACAAACATAACATGTGCCTAGTTTGTAAAACAAGTTTATTTTCCTTACTGGACTTCATGTGATGTTTGTATAGTTCTAGGGCAAATTTGGAATAGTCTAAATAAACACGTAAAAGTTGAATATTGAAAATATATTTCCAATTAGCTTGAGTTTAATTTCTAAATCAATAGACAAATTAAAGGTACATATTAGTAACACATAATAAACTCGCAACACTTCCAAGGGGGTAATTCTTGTCTAAAGATCGCGATTCATATTATAGTATTACAATAACAACAAAACGCCTCAGTTCCAAATAAGTTAGTCTTGTCTAAGACGCAATTGTTACTGTTATAGTTGTCTCTGATGTGACCTGGTTGCGGATTCAAGTCGTGAAATCAGCCACCAATACTTGCATCAGGGCAAATTGCCTACATGTTTTATGCATCAGGCTGCTGTTATAGTATTGCGAGAAAAAGATTTTAAATAAAGTTTACATCAAGAACTTTGCAAATCAAGAATGATCTTCTTGAATAGTTTGGAGAGCATAGTTTCTCCATTTGCATGAATCATGGGGGTCCCAAATACAAAGGTTGCAATTTATTTGTCTTCCAACAGAATAATCATTCTTATTTTAGTGGATTCCACACCATTTTCATAAAAAAGTGTCCACCCTAGGTTATTCAGACACTAAGATTTTGAACTTTGAGAGTACACAAGATGTGAAAGTGATTTGATCGTAGATTTCTGTTGGAGATATGATGCACAAAATTAAATGCGCTTAGAATAATTGTTAGATGAAAAACCTCGAGACTTCGTTTATTTGTTTAAAAAAAAATGACATATTTCATCGTAAACACTTCCCGATATCAATACCAAGTGTTTATAACTTAAATACATTTTAATTATTTAATAATCATAAGAAAAGTAAGAATATAAGTTATATACACCGTTTGCAAAAAAAAAAAAAATTACACTATTATATCGTTTAACCTATTACATAATATAATGTTAGTAGAAATTTATTTGTTTGTTGCCACTGCTTCTTTTTATAGTATTTTTTAGCCGAGGACCAATAGTAAAAAAACCTCTCTGCCTTCTTTGGGTGGGCGTAAGGTCTGTGATTTGATTATGTAAGTATTTTTTTACGTAGAAACTGCAAGCGAATATTGTGACAGTCCAACGGGGACAGAAACATCACAAACAGAAGAAGTGATAGCAGCACTAGAAAAGAATGGAATAAATTTTGTAAATTCAGCAAGCACAAGGGCAAAGACTAAAATAGGCAAACCAAAGATGGCAATGAGGATTGATATTCCAGCCACTACACCAACACGTACTATAGCTGCTGTTACATCTATGCTTTGGGAAGATTTAGTGAATAACCCTAAGAAAGATGGCCCTAGAGAATACATTAACAAGAAGAAAATTCAATGTGCTGAAAAGATGATCAGAAGTGCTTTTGTTGAACTTTATAGAGGCCTTGGCTTACTCAAAACTTACAGGTAATTTTCTATTTTCTTTTGTATTTTTAATTTTTAAAGACTGATCTAAGATTTTAAGTCAGTACGTGCATAATTTCATCCCGTTATGGTAACAAAGATCTTGCATTGGTATCGTAGTCCGTGCATGCATTATGATAATGATATACCAAATAAAACTAACAGTGGCAAAGCTAGAAATTCGGCTAATTAAGTGTGTTGAAATTTGACTAATATATAAAGTTATTTTCCAGCGAAAAGGTATTCAGTTGACCAGCTAGCTTCATTGAATCGCACGCTCATGTAATATAACTAATAGAATTATGTTTTATATACTCACGTCGTAAAAATGTATTTATGTAATCAAATCACGTATATAAAAAAGATATATACAAATAACTCTATTTAATAAAATTATATGTTAACGTAAGATAAGTAGTAAGTAACCTATTATAATCGATTACATTACGCTGATAGTAAACGCCGTCAGTGCAAAGAACTTAAATCGGTCATACTTATGGTTTACACTATCAGATCATAGTACTTTAAGAATGTAGAATGGCGTGTTGGTGGTGAGAAAACAACAACACTTTACTCTTTTTAAGAAACTTAACCATCTTGATTTATGTGAATGGTGATGTAGCTATATTTGGTTAATGACTTGTGTTAATGTTTGTATAGTTGAGATTTCGTAATATAATAGATTTATGTCGTGATATTTGACTTATCTAACAATCATTCATTTCAAGGACATTTGGAAACAAACAAGTAACAAACAATAAAGTTCATCTTTTGTAAAGGGAAATAAAGGGAAAAAAGCAACAAGAAGATGACAAAAGAAAAACAGTATGAGGAAAGAAAAAGAAAGGACTAACAATGAAGATATTGCATTAAACGTTTAGCAAATATTTGTGAACTCTGAAAAATATCACTTTTAGTTCGCGATTAAAATTATTTATATTTGATAACCAGAAAGTAAATAAAATTTGTATATATTTTTTGTATATAATATATATATATATATATATTAATTATTTTTAGAACGGCCGTACAATATCTTTTTCCCTTATTATTCTTCTATTTTTTGGGCTAACTCTCTGTCACCTTTTGATCAAAAAGCTTTTTCATTAGCTATAGCCATTGCAATAGAAGAAGTTTCTTGAACGTAAACGTCTATAAATTCTGTTACTTTTTAGTTTACATGCATGAATTTCAAAATAAGTCTATGGATGTTTTAATGATTTTGCTAACTTTTATTTTCAGCTCACTAAACATGGTGGCTTTCGTGAAGATACTTAAGAAGTTTGATAAGGTAATGTTTTAAGTTTGAAAATAAATTTAGGGTTTTAATATTTACACTAGATCAATAAATAAACCCGACTCGCAAATATTTAACCTTATTTCTTTCATTTTCCCGTCAAACAGGTTGCTAAGCAGCAAGCATCAGCCAGTTACCTTAAACAAGTCAAAAGATCCCATTTCATTAGCTCTGACAAGGTAATTAAATTTTCAATTGATGTATATAGTCACCATAAGAAAAGGAAAATACTTATTTTAATGAATAATTATGTTCTTTGCAAATTTCTTAGAGTACTTCCTTTAGTTGCCCAAATTCCTATTAATTGTTAATGAATTTCTAATTAATTAAAGCAATTTCTTTTCATGCATTTTCACGTTACACTCGTACTTGGCTGAAAAAATTACAAACGATATGCCCATTTTTACCAGTCTTTCTCTGTGAACTATGCATACATCTCTTTTTAAATAAATTAGCTAGTTTAATACAAAAGCCATAAGTCGATCCGAACACTATGATTATTTTTGAAAAAAATAAGTGCAAGACTTTTTACATTTCGTGTTTCATGTTTTTTTCGTGAATGTTCTTTAAAGGGAAAAAAGGAGGTTTTGATATATTTGTGGGATATGATTAAGATGTCATTAAGTGCTTTTAGTATTATATATCATGAAATGGAAATAGTTTTTTATACTATTAGTGGTGATTAGTGGATGTTGATGATTTCTTTGTAATAATTGGCAAAACATCACTTTTAGTTTGCGGTCAAAACTGTTTATACTCGACATGTAGAAGTGTATAAAATTATATATTTTTTTGTATATAACATACAGAAATGTGTGTGTATCACAAATAATATATGATTTTCAATTATTATTTTGAGAACAAGTATCCAGTATTATTTTTCCTAATATTATTTTGCTAGGTGAAAATGGATGATTACTAATGCACAATATTTTATGTTTATTCTATTTATTGGTGAGAAGGTGGTTAGGCTAATGGACGAAGTGGAGTCCTTATTCACACAGCACTTTGCAAACAGTGACAGGAAAAAGGCAATGAAGTTCTTAAGACCCCAACAGAATAAAGAATCTCATATGGTCACCTTTTTTGTTGGTAATTCCCTCACTCACTACTCACCCACCCACCCCCTTATATAAAAATAGAAACAAAACAAAAGAAATTCAATTTCCCTCCCTTATATGTCTCTCTAGATCCATCTATATGCACATATTATACTATAATGCTAACAAAAGGTAGTGACAAAAGTTTGACAATATTAACCAAAATTGGGAATTGAATGAGTAACAACAACAATGGTGTCCGGGGAGGTATATGCAGATCTTACCCCTACCTCGTGCATGTAAAGAGGTTGTTCCGAAAGACCTTCGGCTCAAGAGAAAATTGAATGAGTAATGTATTTATTTAGGGGTGAGTGTGTACCCCAAACAAATACATTCATAAGATTGAGTCAACTTAAAATCCATTACTAGTTTTTTTTTATTTTAAAAAAATCATTTTTAGCAGTTAAATTATAACTAGAGATCCTAAAGAACGATATTTAAACAAAGAATTTTTTTTCGAAGTTTTGGAGTTAGAGAGGTTGAATAATGACCCGTCAACCTATTTTTTATTAAACAAACTTTAGACGAATTACGCCATAATCCAGTTTATTAACTCAACTCATTTTAACTTGCACAATTGATACCTCTAGTTCAAACTTTCACGTCCCTCATAAGCATCAATTACAAGCTGATACAACGAAAATACGATGCAAATTTATGTTTATATAGTATGGTTTAGGAAATATTATAAAGTATAATAACAAACTTTCTTAAAAAAAGAGGTATACATCTCAACTATAGTATCATTGTTACATTTTCAGAGTTGCCTGCCTTTTCATAAACTAAAATAACTTTAATATTGTAGTAAGATTTTGATAGAAACAAAGGTGCATGGAACGTGTAAAACAAGACGAGTAACATGTTACAACATGTTAAATTATACTGGTAATTTAAAAAAANAGTAATAATTATTGGTTATGTTACTGGAATTGCAGGGCTTTTCACAGGTTGTTTTGTGACGCTATTTAGTGTATACGCAATATTGGCTCATTTGAGTGGCATGTTTTCCCCTAGAACTGAAGCTGGTTATGTTGAAACTGTTTACCCTATTTTCAGGTACCCCTTTTTTCTCACATTACTCTCATGTTTTCCCTCCTTTCTTCACAGACTTTATGGATGTCTTTAAGTTTTCCTAATTTTTAATTTGATATTGTCATTAATTAATATTCTTGCCATATTTTGAAATATACTATAGGTTTTGAGATTCAATAAAATGACATATAGTATGAAAATAACTAGAATGTCACTTTTTTTTAATGTATCAATGATCTTGAGAAAGACACTAAAATTTATGGACATTTCTTTCAAGAGTTGAAAAATAGACCATTCACTAAATCTAGGGATAGGTGCACAAACAGCCAGTTTTAGGGATACTATTTATAAATTAGTCGGTATTTAATTTGTCCTAAAATTTTGAACTAAAAATCTTAACTTGAGGACATTTCAGGATATTTTTATTCTGAAAAATTAAAATTCAGGACGCACTAGTTAATTCTAAAATAACAACCTTTTAGAGTGGCTACCTAGTGTCATTTCCACCTGAATGTAATAGAAATGCATGAATGTTTAGCTACAAATTTTTGATAAATGGAATTTAAGGACTAAATGAATAGTCAAGGTAATTTAAGGGAGTAATGCAATTTATAGTACAACAACAAGAAGCTCAATATTTTTTCACAAGTGGGGTCTGGAGAGGGTGAGATGTATGCAGCCTTACCCCTACCCTAGAAGGACGTAATGCAATTTATAGTGCTTTCCCTAAATGAATAGTCAAGGTAATTTTGTGTAACCAGTACCTTTTTCCTCTCATAGTTTATTCTTTGCTCCCTTTATATCATGTAACTTCCCTTAATAAGTCGAACTAGTTACCTGAAAAATAAAGACCTACTATAACATGTTAAATTACACTAATAGCTTAAATTTTTTAACATTGTCAGTGTAATGCTAAAGATGAGTATTGTGTAATGTGTGCAGCATGTTTGCATTGCTAAGCTTGCACTTGTTCATGTATGGTTGCAATCTGTTCCTATGGAAGAGCACAAGAATCAACTACAACTTTATATTTGAATTTCAACCTAGAACTGCTCTCAAATACAGAGATGCATTCCTCATTGGAACTTGTTTAATGACTGCTGTTGTTGGAGCTCTGGTTATTCATTTAATCTTACTTTCAAGTGGATTTTCTCCTAGCCAAGTTGATGCAATTCCTGGAATTCTCCTACTGGTTAGTCACCTAAAGCCGGATCTATTGTTTTTTTTCGTTTTCTTGAACCGAGGGTCTTTCAGAAACAGCCTCTCTACTCCTCCGGGGTAGAGGTAAGATCTGTGTATATTTTACTAGGTTGTTGTTGTTGTTGTTAGTCACCTAAAATCTTGTTAAACATTTTTGCTCAACGCATATAGCTTCCTAATGTTAACATAGTCTTTTTGAACTATTTCCCTTTGCATTTTCAGATTTTTCTTGCTCTGCTGATATGTCCATTGAACATTTTCTATCGTCCAACGCGCTTCTACTTCCTTAAAGTCATACGTAACATTGTTTGCTCTCCATTTTACAAGGTATTTTGAGATCTTAAAATCAAGAAATTCGTTGTTCTGGAGGGTTTTTGATGACTGTACTGATCTCGCCAATATAATGATATTGATATAGGTATTGATGGTAGACTTTTTCATGGCTGATCAACTAACAAGCCAGGTAACTAACCTTTGATTTTCAAATATTTTCTTCACATTATTTTCTTTTAAGACAGAGTCTTGAAATGTATATAGATGATTTAGTATGTTCCTAACTTAGATTCTGTTTTTCTGTCTTTTAGATCCCATTGATGAGGCATTTGGAATCATCAGCTTGCTATTTTCTTGCTGGAAGTTTAACAACTCATGGACTTCCAACCTGTAAGTCCGGACGAATGTACAGAGAGCTCGCTTATGTTATATCTTTCGCGCCTTATTATTGGCGTGCAATGCAGGTAAAACAGCTAACTCTACATTATAAATCACTGCTAAATAATCATTGGGATAATTACATTTTTGACGCTACCTAAAAAATATACTTATAATATACATATCATATACATGGTCTGTTTATATGTTTTGTATATTTGGCTATGGCCTGTAATTATTTCGGGTCGCCTGGACAAAATGAAAAAAAATCCCACAATTATTTCCATCTTCCAAAGTTTGGAACTTTTACTGTTTTCTGACTGAGCTAACTAGTGTGTTTGTTATCTAGTGTGCGAGGAGATGGTTCGACGAGGCTGACATAAATCACTTGGCTAACTTGGGAAAGTATGTTTCTGCAATGGTAGCAGCTGGTGCTAGGCTAACCTATGCAAGAACACCTGATTCACAGTTATGGTTGGCAATTGTGTTGGTGACTTCAGCTATAGCTACAGTTTATCAATTGTATTGGGATTTTGTTAAGGACTGGGGATTTTTTAACCTAAAATCCAAGAATCCTTTGCTTAGAGATGAACTAATCCTCAAGAACAAGAGCATTTACTATGTTTCAATTGTAAGTCCTTTGTCTTTTAACACCTTTTTTCCCCATGCAACGATATCGTATCTCTGAACAGACTTTAAACTTTCAATCCTAGGCTTTGAATTTGGTCTTGAGAGTAGTTTGGGTTGAGACAGTGATGCATTTCAACGTTGGATTATTTGAATCGCGTTTACTGGACTTTTCCCTTGCCTCATTAGAAGTTATTCGACGTGGTCACTGGAACTTCTACAGGTATAATAAAGTCTCAAAATATACTTACGTTTTCTAGGAAATTCATATTTCTTATTGTATATTTGTGATTGTTTAGGTTGGAGAATGAGCACTTGAACAATGTTGGAAAATTCAGAGCAGTGAAAGCAGTTCCATTGCCATTCCGCGAGACAGACTCTGATGGCTAGAATAAATTTTTGATCTCTGTCTGGATATCAGAGACATGATTCTCAATAAGAGGCAAGTAGTAGTTTTTGCGGCCACAAATTGGAGGCACTTATCGCTTATGGTTAGAGTGGAGAATCCACCATCATTTATTGATCATTTAACAATGAATTGAGCCTTAGGGATCAAAGTGTTGCCCAAGAAAAATCGCGATCAGCTAATGTTATTTCCATGTCAGTTGTATATTTTCTCATTCTTAACTCTAATCTGATCAAAAATGTATCTCTGATATCTATATTATTCTTAGTAAATATCAAAAGACTTGATTTCCCTGAATTCTTGTTTCTGCTACCATATTAGATTTGCCACATCTTTGTGATTGTATGTCAATATCAGATGATTCTTTATCTACATTCAGTTATTGCTACAAGTCTTTAGCCGAGGGTCTATCGTAAACAGCCTCTCTGTCCTTCCAAGGTAGGGGTAAGACTGCGTACATCTTACCCTCCCCAGACCCCGCTCGTGGAAATTCACTGGGTTGTTGTTGTTGTTAGTTAGTTAGTTAGTTATTGCCAAGCCAACTGCATTCTGTGTTATAAGTTGGGGGAAAGAGGAGAAAATTTGACATTCTTCTGAATGTTGAAGCTGGGGCGAAGGACAAAACACTAATACTTTGTTTATTGATATCACCTTGAATCCACTAGTATTACATATTTCACTGGTTAAAAATGAAAAATGTTAAATTACATGCAAATTACAAATACATATGATCATCCAAAGAACAAGGAATACAAGTTTGTATTGAAATGTATAGGAAAAATAGAGGATCACTTATCTTGAGAATTTGCCTTCTTTTATCATCTCTGCTATTTTCTTGGATAGACAATATGCAGTGGACTGAATAGTGATCATTGGATTTACACCAACAGCACCAGGCAAAACACTAGCATCACAAACAAATAAGCCATTTGCTTCCCAACTCTCTCCATTCTCATCGACAGCGCCATCTTTTTCGCTCATTCCCATCCTGCAACTTCCCATCTGATGAGCAGAACTATAAGTTGTGAAATTCTTTACAAGTGACTTTGGTCCCTCAGCTGCTGTGACTGTATTAAGAAAAGCCTCGATTTCTTTTTCACTTTTTCCCTTACATTTCATTCTCTGTCCATCGCTACGTTGAGTACCTACCTCATCAGCTCCTGCTGCTATCAAGATCCTTAAAGCCTGTTTTAGCCCTTGCTTCAAACTTTCTTTGTCCGTAGCATTGAACGTATAGCTTATTCTTCCATCCGATCTGACTTCCCCCGATCCAACATCTTTAACCATTGCAAACAAATGCGCTGTTCTTGAATATTTGAGTAACCTATTCTTTAAGTCCTCACCAGATGTCCAAGGACACAAGGCAGCGAACGAACCTGGTCCTAAAGCAGTAGCTTCTATTATAGCTCTAACATTGGAATCATAACTCCCGACTTTGTGTACTGAGGTAATGATTCCTCCTTCATATATTTTTCCCTTGAGGTCTGAATCGGACTCGGGAAAGTATCCCCATGCCATTATAACCGGATGAAGATGGAGATTTCGGCCAATGTTCGGATTTCTCAAACCACTAGAAATCATAAGTGGAGGTGTCAAAAGAGAACCACAAGCTGAAATGGTTACCTTGGCCTCAATACATATCCTCTTTGTGATATCTTTATTTGTACTAGTTGCAATCACTCCCAAGCATTTCTTATCTCTTGTTTTCCCATACTTGTTCTTTTCTAGTATGAATCTCTCAGCTTTGCATCCTGTTATAATCACAGCTCCACTGTCCACAGCATCCACCAGCCAAGTTGTATCAGTTCCTTTCTTCTCACCTCTTCTACATCCGTAGCAGCACGAGCCACAATAATGATTCTCGGATGTGTTTCGTGCCACGCCTTCAACTTCAAGACCAAGATTCTCACACCCTTTTCGGAGAATTTGGTTCTGAAGACCTTCTTGTGTGCAGTTTTCTGTCACACCGATCCGTTCACAAACGTTGTCCATAGCAGATACATACTCAGGGCTTTGGAAAATTGGTAGTCTTTTATCATCGCCCCATTCTTGTATAACACAATCAGGAGTCTTAATGCAGGCTGACCAATTAATCGCGGAGCCACCACCAACTGTTGATCCAGCCATGATCATTATTTTAGCATCCAAAGTTGAGAGTATTCCTCCTGATTCATACATTTGGTTCATTGAAGGTCCTTCAAGGGACGAATAGTCGGATTTGGTGTAGTAGTTTCCTTTTTCGAGAACGATAACTTTGTGGCCAGAACTTGCAAGAACACTTGCTGCAACACCTCCACCACAACCTGAACCAACAATAACAACATCACATTGAACTTTGTACATGTTGTTTTTGGTATCATCTATAACTTTTAGGCCTTTTTGGACAAGGGACTTGACTATAGTTGATTCTGTTTCATAAATTGCCTCTACAATTCCCTTCTCAAGAGGTCTTTCTTCAGCTGTTTCTGAATGCTTCTCTTCATTGTCTACTTGATATCCAATGTCATCCCATGCTTGATTTTTTGAATCTTCACCAACCTATGGCAAGAAAAGGACACCTCAATTCAGCATTTTTAAGCTTGCACAGTCAAACTTCTCTATAACAGTCTTATTTGTTTCGATACTTTTTGGCTGTTATAATGAAGTGTTGTTACAGAGGATATATATTATAACATCACATAAAAATCGGTTCCGAGAAAAATGTAGTTTTTATAGTGAATGACTGTTATATAGAGATGTTGTTATAGAGAGGTCTGACTGTAATATGTGGTTTTTTTGTTAACTTCCTTGAATCAAATGGATGTAAATTTGTTGAATGTAATATCAAAATCACTAACAAATTATGTCCCCGTTAAGACAAATAATATGTATAATAAATCTACTAATTGATGATCAAGATTTCGCTTTAAATGAATGGATCATTTGAAAGTAAAATAGCAAAACATAAGAAATGTTACTACTTAGATTCAATATCAACTAGTACTTGATTTTCTCATCATTATTGGTCAATTGACTTACATCTAAAACTTATCGGAAGAATAAATTCTCCCCCTAAACAAGACTCTTTAATAACTATATTGTAGATGTTATTGTGTTATTGTGCGAAGAAGGGATTATCAATTTATGGAAGTGCATCTGTATTTTTCTTTTAGGAAAAGTAAACTATTTTTTCTTACTTCAAATAAGGTAAAATGCAAATATAAAAAGAAAATTCATGTCAAAATCCTAACACTGGTGTCACTGAAGTCCTCTTTTGATCAAGAAAAAACATAAATGAATGGTAGTTGTTGCTATCTCGTTTTCCATTCAAGATCACAGAATTCTAAGAACCAAACCAAAAGTAGAAAAACAAATTGGAAACATTTAGTCAAAAAGATGTACACTATTAAAATTTGTGGGATCAAATAATAAACTAGGTGACTTTTCTAGTGAAAGAAGAAATTGGTCTACGAGTAAATAATTAACAACACATGATACTGACAGTAACTGTTAGCATATATCAAAAACTCCAAACTAAAGAGCTGTCATTTTCAACCACCTAATTTCCAGAAAAAACATAGTATTATTTTATAAATGATTTTTTTCAACAAATAAATAGTGACTAGTTATAAGTCATGTTCAATGGTCACAGGTTTAAAGTTGCAAAATCTTGCTTAAGGGCCAACTTAAAGAAAATTGATATATAAGTCTATTTTGCATGTCATGTGTTACTATGTGATTAACTAATAAATAAAAGGACCATTATTTGAAACTAAATTTGCATTTTGTTTGTGAATACGAAGTATTTACGCTAATCCGATAAATACATAAAAAAAATTACCTAAATTGTTATGTTAATTAGTAAACTTCCTAGACAAACCTTTCATTGGATCATGATTCATGTGGTACTCAACTTCTATTAAAAGAAGCTTTGAAATGAAAAATATTACTAAAAATAAGATGCTTATTTAATAATGGTAAGCCAAATGATAGTACATAATTTTAGATAGTGATGTGAACAAAGTCGGATCCAAAATTTTAATTCTATGAGATTATTTTGTTGGGAAATAAGTTATTCTGAAATTAATTATTCGGGATTAATTATTTTGGGATTGTCATCCCACCCTCTCATAGAAATAAAAATAACACTACAATCCCATGATGACTAATCCAGCGTGATAACTAATCCCTGAATTAGTTGTACCGCGATTTTGTTCCAACCAAACTTAGGATAATTAGTCATCTTAAATTTAATTTCAACATTAATTATCCCTTATCTCTCGTATTAGAGTGATACAAGCCCTATGAGTTCACCTGATGATCCATTACGCTCAAGCCTAGCTGGCCATTGAGGGGAAACATACATTTACAGCACATATCCCAAGAAAAAATATCAAAGAAAAATGATGAAAAGACAATAAAGCCCTTGAAGCAATAAACAGAGCATTTTGAAAAATGTTAAAGAGAAAAGAAGAAGAATTACCTGAGTAAAGAAGATGTAGAGACACAAGAATTTGATAAACATAAATGCCAATCTAACTGGAGTTAAGAATCTGTTCTTGAACCATTTCTGCAGCACAATCTCTCTTTTCTCCAATGGAATATCACAGAATTTATTGATGTAAGGCCATTTTTGGACAAAACAAAATGATCCACAAAGTAACAAAGTTCCAATTCTTGTTGATAGTATTCTTAACAAACCCCTCACCAAGATTATTGCTTCTAAAAACCCCCTTTTCATTACAACCTCTGCACACTGCAAATAATCAACAAAATTGATCAAACAAAAATTAAAAAATTTAAATTAAAGTTAAAAAAAAAGACAACACCACTTAGTAGGCGTTTGGACATAAAAATTATAATTTTTTGAAAATTTTTTGTATTTGAAGTTAAGTTGAAAAATATTGAAATTATGTTTGGTCATGCATTTCACTTAAAAAATATTGCAGCTACAAAAAAAAATTATCTGAAATTTTTGAAAAACCCACTTTTTAGTTTTTGAAACGCTCATTTTCAATAAATATCCAAAAACTTATAAATTTCATGGACAGACGCGTTGTTGAAAAAAAAATTGGAAAAATTAATTAATTCAATATTTCACCCAAAAAAGAAAAGGAAAAAAAATAGGGGCTTTTATTTTTGTTTGACTTACCTCATCAGGAATTGGATACTGAGAAGCAGAAGCTTTATGAAGGTATTGAATATTATGACTATTTTTTTCTGGGATTTCATTTTGAGGAAGAGGAGGAAGAATAGTTTCACAAATACTAGTCAAAGTTTCCATTTCTGAAGAGGAAAAGCCATGACTATACTTCGTT